TGTATTTTATCAATTATTATTCGGATCCTTTTTTTTCCGTATATATCTTTCATATTACTGTACTGTTTACTTATATCACTCGATCCTACATATCCTACTTCCGTTGCTTTTAGCAAATATTTTTAGATGAAGAGTCAAGTGGCGCAAGGCAGGTACCTCACTCAATACTCTCACAGACGTGGCAACTTTTAATCCCTTCCATTATCATTTTTCCCAGTGGTATTAAAATGGAATTAAAACTTCAATTTTAAGCAAACAAATACGTTGTATTTGAAAAAAATTAAATTGACAACCATGATAGTAACGCATATTAATATATAAGCTTAATTTTTGTAAGAATAGTGGTGATCAAAATCGTTTAAAAATTAAATTTATAAAAGAAAAAAAAGTATATATTTACTACCACTTTAAATATGAAAATAAAATCTCCGGCGAAATCCGGGAGAGTTGGCAGGTATGTAAAGTGGTGAATTATATAAGTCTACAAATTATTTCGAATTAGTGGCGAATAAAAATCTAATAAATTGAATTTATTAAACCAAGAATCACAATAGATAAACTACCACTTTAAAATATTTATTTGCTGTCCGGAGCAAGTTGGCATCTCTGAATATTTAATATGATAAAGTAATAACAACGCAGGTAAGCTAATTTTGTATAATTTTACTAGAACAATAATTTCATTGAATTATTAAAAAGATCCTCAGTGCTCGTATATCAGGTTAGATAAAGCTATTTATTTTGTGCATATGTATAGTGGTGGTCAAAAATTTAGTAAATTAAATTAAATTTCACATGAAATTTATTACCACTTTAAATATAGAACAGAAACTTTACGTTGAAATAAGAATGGTTGGAAGATATCTAGTAATAAAATCGGAGTCATAAATTCGGGCATTAAAGTATTAAGGTAGTTAAGGATCTAATCTCCTTTCGTGTTAAAGTTTAAGAACAGAAACTCGTGGTAGCTATTCCCAGCCTGGCAACTGCTAAGCTTTTCGTAAAATATTTTATAGAGTAGTAAGCGTATAAAAACCATAGCTTTCAAAATTTTTGCTACGTTTGTTAACACTTTGAGCTGGACTTAGACTTGACTTGATAGGTGGTATACCAGAGTACCTACCCGCAAAGATAGAATTTTTTTTTCTTTATAAAATTAAGTAGACAACAGAAATAAATGTCCAGTTTAAGTGTACCACTAGTTTAATGTAGTTGCCACCAGTTTAATGTAGTAATGGCCATTTTCAAAAATCTAATGAAATGTTTGTCAATCATGTCTATAAAAAATGAAACTTTTCGCCCATATTTAGATTAAACAAAATATTTGTAATACCAACTTATTTTAATAATATACATTTTTTTGCGGAGATGCCACAGATGACTATAATTGTTAAAAGTGGTAGAAACTCAATTCATTATTGCTTATTTAGTCAGTTGTAACTACCACTAGGACTTACATTTCAAATTATTCATACGTAAAGCAATAAATTATTAATTTATCATACACTGGTTAACTAAAAATAATTTGCAAGAAGAAGTTGCTGTTATATTCTCCTTTAATAAAATTTGAATTTCATTAGTCACAACTTTTTGCATATATAATTGCCTGTGTCCATTACTTCATCTGTGATTTATATAGTTGGCTGGATGGCTGGGACTTTTGCCATAAGTTAGTGTATAAGATTACAGTGGTGGCTGGGTAGCCTCTGTGAATGACAGTCTAATCTGATGTTTTTTGAGCTAGAACAAAATGGCGTTGCATATTAACTTTTAAATCATTTATATGTAGTGGTGTGGAAAATAAGTTTAAATGAATAAAAAATACTACTTTAAAACATTAACTCAGGTAGGACAAATTTTTACTAAAAATGTAGAAAGTTCGTGGAAAGAAGAGGGTGGGTTTTCGGATGTTTTTTTGTTTTTTAAAAAATTTACTTCCAGTCTTAGTTTTCCCGCTGAACAATGGGGATAATGTAACGTAACTGATTGCTCAATTGAACTGTGAGCATATACTTCGTCGAGAGGTGGTACAAGATTAAGGGTCTTGTTTTTTGACCAACTTCCTTTTATCGGATATGTTGCTTGTTTTGGAAATTTTTTTAAAAGAGTTTTTTTTTCTGCCTTATGTTTACTTGCGGATTTGTGAGTAAAGTTACGAAAAAATAAAATTACACGAAGAACTTACAATTTAACTAATTTCATTTCTAAAAGTTGCTATTCTAAAGCATAAATACATCAATTAATTTATAGTAATAATTTAATAGTACATGATCATAATTATCAGACTCATAATAACAAATTACTTTTCTTTTATAATAGCCAGCCGTTTTCAATTACCAGACAGATCAAACTTTTCTTCTTCTTCTGTTGGCATGACAGCCCTTTGGGTTCCAGAGCCTTTCCTAGAACCTTCCTCCATTCTGTTCTTACTAATTTTAAAATAATAATTCCTTATTTATTGTCTTATAATCATTTTTTTAGTAATTCATAAATGATTCTCCTTAAAAGTTCATGCCTCGTTTACTTTTAAAAAAATTCATTGCTCTGGAAAAGTAAGACGCTACTGATAAGAGTATTTAAAAATTGGGTCATCCATTTTTTTAGAAAAATGGGAATCTCTTCTAAACCATGCTGTTATTTTACAATATATAATTTATTTACGTGAGATATTAGTAATACTCACCTTCAGCCATTGCCCATTCTCCAATGCACCTGACCTCCGTACCAGGTACGCTTGAACAGTCTGAATGCTTCACTTTATCAGTGACTGCAACTCCTTCGTATATGGTTTTCACTCCACACAGAAAAGCTGTTGCTGTGGAAGCTGAATCTGGGACATACTTATCGGTGGCATACGTCTATATAGAAGTAGAAATATTTTAATATTACACGGCAGAATACTTATCAGTGACACACGCTTATCATACGAGTACTTATCATTATTATAATACCTATCAGTGGCACACGGCTATTTAGAATTAGATATATTTTAATACTACACAGCAGAATAATTATATGTGGCACACAGCCTATTTAGAATTTTAAATATTTTAATATTACGCAGCAGAATACTTTTCGATGGCACACGTCTAATTAGAATTAGAAATATTTGAGTATTACATAGCCGAATACTTATCAGTGGCACACGTCTATTGAGAATTAGAAATATTTTAATACTACACAGCAGATTAATTATCTGTGGCACACGGTCTATTTAGAATTTTAAATATTTTAATATTACGCAGCAGAATATTTTTCGATGGCACACGTCTAATTAGAATTAGAAATATTTGAGTATTACACAGCCGAATACTTATCAGTGGCACACGTCTATTGAGAATTAGAAATATTTTAATGTTACATAGCATAGTACTTATCTGTGGCACACGTTAATTTAGAATTAGAAACAATTTAATATTAAGCAGCAGAATACTGCAAATACATTAGTATAAGTCTACGTACGGTATAAGCAGACAATGGCATACGTCTACTTAGAATTTGAAATATTTTTAGCTCTTGAAAGGTTGTTGTCTTGTCACTACCGACAAACCTATTTTAACGCAAGAAGTCTGCGCTTCTTGTTTTCCTATGGCGACATCTATGGTCAAGAATTTGATTTCTGTTTCTCGCATACGTCACAGTCCGTTTTACAGGGAGGACGCATTCAAACACAATTCATCCATCCGCTGATCGTAATTTTGACTTGAACCTGAGTACGATCAATCTCCTATCCAGTACCCCCAGAGTTATTGATTTGTTATGAGAACTTGGAGCTCTTTGTGTTCCCAGCAGATTTAGCATGCACCGGTCACCATTTTAGCTAACGAGGGTATTCGGTCGGCGGGGATCGAACTCACGACTTCTTGTATATGGGCCCAACCTCCTACCAAACACTCATATATATAACACTCATAATTATGATGTTAAATTTTAATTGTTGGCGAAATTTTCAAATGAGTTATTTGCTTCACCGGTTTGTGCCTTGCATCATTTTAAAAGGACGGTTTCAAAAAAGAAAATAGGTCAAAATTTTCATTATTAGATTTTTATTCTCAGGAACAAGATAAAGCCCTGAATACGTAGAACTTTGTAATCTAGGGTTTTAGAATAAGGTAGATCTGTCTTTCATAATAGTATATTAAAACAGTAATAAGATTGATTTAGATAAGAATGAAAGTAGAAAGTTTTTTTTCTTTTGAAAAAAAAATAAAGTGGTAGACGACAGAAAGCAATATCAAGTTTGAGTATACCACAATTTTCAGTGTAGTTGTTTTTTATATATAGGCCATTTTCAATAATGTGTTGTAATGTTTGTCAATCATGTCTATAAGAAATAAAACTTTTCTCCCACATTTAGATCAAACAAAATATTCTGATTACCCATTCATGATTTTTTTGCGGTGTCAGGGATGCAACAGAAGACTATACTTGTTAAAAGTGGTAAAAACTGAATTCATTTTTTTAAAATTTATTATTTCCTTATTTATTTACCACTGGGACATACTAATAGGACTTACATTTCAAAAAATTTATATTTAAAGCAAAAACCTTTTAGCATTAAATCAGCATAATATAATTAATTTTCATGACATTTTAGTACAGCGCATCACGACAAATACCGAGTTAACATCAATATCTAGCATTCTTCGCATTTACTTTCAATAGTAAACTGAAAGTATTTTACAAGAAAAAGTTGCTAATTTAATTTTTTTAATTAAAGTTTTGAATTTTATTTGTCACAACTTTTTGCATATATAGTCGCCTGTGGCAATTCTATGGTTTAATTTTTAAACTAAATCTGAAAGTTAACAATTTTGATAGAATTAAATTAAAATCTCTAATTATTACTTCAACCTATATCCGGAGAAGTAAGTTTTCGTTGAATATACAGGGTGTTCCAAAATTATCTTTACAACTTCAAAAATTCATAACTTCGAACATAAACAAGATATTTTTATTCTGTCTTTTGCATGTATTACTGCAACTAATAAAGTTTTTTTTCAATAGGCTGAAAAGTTATAAGTGAGGATGTGGACACCACAACAGAAAGCTCAATGCGTCTCATGGTTCATAGAGACGAAATCAGATACACAGGTTCAACGGAACTTCAGGACAAATTTCCAAAGAGACCCACCATCCAGACCCTCCATCCGTGCGTGGCACACAAGCTTCATGAGCACCGGATAAGTATTGCATAAAAGTGGAGCCGGACGACTCAGCACAAGTCCAGAAAATGTGGAGCGAATACGGCCATGAGACGCATTGAGCTTTCTGTTGCGGTGTCCACATCCTCACTTAAAACTTTTCAGTCTATTGAAAAAAAAAACTTTATTAGTTGCAGTAATACATGCAAAAGACAGAATATAAATATCTTGTTTATGTTCGAAGTTATGAATTTTTGAAGTTGTAAAGATAATTTTGGAACACCCTGTATTTCAAATGAGCCATTAGCAACTGCGACTATAAATAATGAACTCTAAGTGAAAATTTTTACTTGAGCTCTATGCGATATGATTTTAGCATATATCAGCCAGACTCCTTACGGGGTTTCAATTTTGTAATATTTTTTTTATTATCCGAAGCATGATTTGATATTAATACGCTTTGGTGTTTTTAAAGAAAATCATTAAAAGATTCTTTAACTATTTTTTTTAATTGTTCCTCCATGGAGTGTACAAATACATACCTGACAACTTTTGATCCGTTCCATTATGTTTTTTCCCAGTGGTAGTAAAATAGATTTAGAATTACTAATGTAAGCTAAAGAGTGCGTTATATTTTAAAACACTTTAACTGGCAACAGTGATAGTAACGAATATTAACGTATATGCTTAATTTTTTTAAGAATTAGTGGTGATCAAAATCATTTAAAAATAAGTTTATAAAAGAAAAATATAGTATGTATTTACTACCACTTTAAATATAAAAATAAATTTTTACGTGAAATGTGTAAAGATTGACGTGTAATCAAATGTTTCACTCTTTTATTGTCTGTGTAAATAAAGCCATTTTTTCTACTATTGATTTACTAACTTGAAGCGAATGTTTTAGAACTCTCGTTATTTGTCAAAATGATTTATTTTAAATTCGAATGATTAGATTTTATGTTCCTATTGTTCATGTCTTAAATTCTTGCAACTCTTTTTAATTAGTTTATTGAGTTGTTCTACTTCAATTTGATCTTTTGGATTTCTGTCGTCTGACAATTCTTTCTACGTTTACATTCTGTTAAGGATTAAATTTTTGATGCTTGTTGGAAGTTTGAGAAAATATGAAATTAAACAAAAGTAATTGTTGTTTTATTATAGACTTCCATAATTATAGACCGAAGATCTGAAATGCAGATATTAATTAGAGTTAGGTTGCTAAGTTCATCAGTGACATTAATTTATTCATCGCTCTGCAAGATATTACGGTATGATCGCCATTATATTTCTGAAATTTTCCTCTTTTCCTATGCTGAGTAGGTGCCGATTGTGAAAAAATTTGGGAGATGATCAGAAAACAGTTCATTTAGTACACAGACTATTAGTACTATTGGGATCTCGGCATTTGAAATGGCTAAGTCAAGAACGTCAGGTCTATGGTTTTGATTATCTGGGAAATGAGTCTGTGGCGTAACTACCACTATAAATATTAAATACCGCTATCATTTTATGTCTAATACTTGCTATCATTTTATGTCTCCAAATAAAATAAAGTACGAAATAAAAAAATTAGCCACTTTTATCTTTAAAAGCATATACTTACATCTTTAGAAGTTTGTATTATTTTTTTTTATTTTGGCGGGAAATCTTTGTAATTTGAATGCTAATTTTCAAACAATTTCTGTTTTTAATTGTTATATCGCTACCACTACAAAGAGCTTTAACTAGAATATGAAAAAAAGGCTGCTATGTAGTTGTTGCCTCCAACCATAGATATTATTCCAGTCGCCCACGGGCTTCGCGGACAGGCACTCTGAAACCTACTCTAGTTCAAGTACAAAGTTGTTGCCACACTGTCCCGCAAGGGTTAAAGTAATTTTTCTAACTCTTTTTAAATTTTTACCGGACTATAAGAGATGAGATGAACTCGTGGTTAAACTAACAGGCGATAAAAATTTTGAATATTTGCTGTAGTTGACAATTGCTTTTCGACATTGCTCGTTCAGATTAATATTTTTTTTATGACCGTCGTTAAACAGCCGATCTAATTTTTGGGTTTAATACTACTAATGTTCAACTCCATAGCCTTGCAATTTCGAACCCAATCTAGAAGACAAGGAACCTCCTGGATCAAGTTTTGGGAGAAATTTGCCTTCGTGGAAGACTTTTCGATGGAACCAACCCACATTTGCGTTACATGGAAAGGAAAACCTCCCGTGGTTAGCCTGACGGCAAGGGGACTCTAACCCATGATCCGTATTTTCTGAACTATTTATTTTAGTGGATATAATGGTAGCAGAAATCTTTCAGTATTGCAGCAAACGCTGTAGATTAACACCGTATCTGCAATTTTTTTTCCTCGAAAATTTGGTGGAAAAATTTCTGAGCAAAAATAATAAATAGTGAAGTTTTCTTTGAGAGTTAAAGTGTTAATATACAGAAATTAACTCATGTTAATTGAAAAGTACATACCCTAGCAAGTCCAACATTAGGAAAAGCTTCATAGATCATCTCCTCCCCTACGCCACTTCGACCTGCCTTTTGACCTTTCAATATCCTAGCCGCTGCTATTGTTGCCAAGTTCATTCCATCTCCCACAATTAATACTATATTTTTAGCAACATTACTGTTCGTTTTTCTTCTTAGTGTGCGCTGCAATACTAGTTGGGCTTTTTCATTAAATAATTCTGGATCACCTGAAAATATTACAGTAATTAGCAGAATAACAACTAAAATCCTCAGCTGTATCCTAATAAATACCTTTAATTTATTAGAGGTAAAAAACTGTATGAACTGGCATATTATACTCAACTTCTTCGGAAAAGAAGACATAAGGAAATATAATCATTGTTATCGGGACAACTGAGCTTTTTATTTTTCATAGGTTTACGCTGAATCGAGTGAGATCAAAACCCAACTTTCAGTTCAAATATTTTGGAAGTTGTAAGGATTTTATGTATAAAAAGTACAATCCCTTTTTTCCTGAATTCTCTAACCCTATAGCGCCGACTTTCACAAATACGTGCCAGTATGAAACCGTATCAATCAGGGTAAATCGATAAAACTGGTAATCAAAATAATTCTTT